GTATAGGCCTGTAGCCCGAAAACCGTTTACTATATTTTCATGGGTCAAACTTTGTGACCAGACCCTTGTGAAAATTGCATTAAAGCTGGTTTTCGCTAAGCGTCTTTCCGGATTTTGGTACATGTATTTCAGAACCTCCTGATCTCTATAATGTTCAAAGGATTTATTAACGGATTTATCGAGGGGCCGTAGCTCATGAGTTGTGTTACTTGGGAGGTAATATAGGACTATGTCATGACGGTCTGCTTCCTCAGCAATCGTATAATCTAAATGGGATGTCGCTCCATCGCAGGTTAATAAAATTTTCCCTTGAACCTCATATTTTGCCAAATGTTTGATGAACTCGACAAATAATTCGGTTGTCATACTTCCTTTCGGTGACAAATTGTCACTAAATTCAGGTTTCTGCCTCTGCCCTTTGAATATTATCCTTGGCGGAATAGCGGTCCCGACAGCATTGGCACACACAGCGATCGTTACATTTTGAGCATGCTCTGGCGCAATTAGATGAACTCGTCGAGCTGCTTTTTGTGCTAAAACAGTCTGTTGATTATGAACAGTCAACTGGCATCCCTTATCATCTATATTGTAAAGTTTTTCTGGATGCGTTGCTATATCAAGTTAGTCATATAATTTCTTAACTTCTTCAAAGTGGTGACTGGATTCATTAACTGTGCCTTCCGTTTTGAAATTTCTGGATGTTTCTTCGAAAACATATTTAGCCAGTCTTTGCCAGCAAGGCCAACGTTTTTGTTAAAATTATGTCTAAGTTCATATTTTGCGCAAAAGATGAATGCTTGTCTATGAATAGTCTTAGGAGTGAGTGGCATCCCAATATTCGCGAATCTTATGATTCTGTTGACAAGATCGCGTTCTTGAGCTTCATTCATAATAGAACTGCGTCCTAGTCGTCTTATTATAACGGGCGATTTTTTAAGAGGTATAGGATTTGATTGTCAAAATAAACACAAAAAATTTGAAAGAACGATTAAATCTTTATTTGAGTCGATAGAACGGTCGATATAATTTAATGTTTAAAGATTGTTTCATGTAAATGTTGGCCGCGGCTCCGCTTTAGATGGCCCATGCGCAAGGTCCAATTTTGGCACACTCTCTCCAACATATCGTGCGGTATCTCACGGATAAATGCTTCAGTATTGGCTTCCAGTGCGTCAATCGTTGCTGGTTTATCCCTGTAGACATTAGCCTTAACATGGCCCCACAAGAAATAGTCCAACGGCGTTAAATCACACGATCTACGCGGCCAATTGACAGGCCCCAAACGTGAGATAAACTGTTCACCGAAATCGCTTCTCAATAGGGCCATTGTTTCGTATGCGGTGTGGCATGTGGCACCGTCTTGTTGAAACCACATGTCAGCCAAGTCCAGCTCTTCCATTTTGGGCAAAAAAAGTTTGTTATCATCGCACGGTAGCGCTCGCCATTCACAGTTAAGTTTCGGCCATTGTCGTCTTTGAAGATGTACGGCCCGATGATGCCACCGGCCCATAATCCACACCAAACAGTGTTTTTTTCGGAATGCATTGGTAGCTCTTGCAATGCTTCTGGCTTGTCTTCATTCCAGATGCGGCAATTTTGCTTGTTAACGCACCCATTCAACCAGAAATGAGCTTCGTCGCTGAACACAATTTTTCGATAAAAATGTGGATCTTCCTCCAACTTTGCCAGCGCCCCTTCACCAAATGGATAACGTTGTGGGAGGTCGTGTGGCTTCAATTCTTGCACCAGCTGTATCTTATAAGGTTTTACACCCAAATCCTGTCGCAAAAGTTTCCACGTAGTGGAGTGACAGAGGCCCAATTGCTGCGAACGGCGGCGAATCGACATTTCACGGTCATCACTAACACTGGCGGATACAGCCGCAATATTTTCTTCAGTCCTCACTCTACGTCTGCGTGTTGGTGGTTTAATGTCCAATAATGTAAACTGGGTTCGAAATTTAGTAACAAGCTTCCGAATAGCTCCCTCAGTAGGCCGACCAAATTGCCCATAAATTGGAAGCAGTGCTCGATGCACTCTCTTAACCGAGCATGAATTTTGATAGTAAAATTCAATAATTTGCAAGCGTTGTTCGTTCGTAAGTCGATTCATGGTTGAATTATAGACCAAACTGAACAAGTTTGACAATGACACAAGACACGATTCACGCGTCATCTGTCAAAAACAGTGTTGCCAAAAAGATACTAGCAAAAAAATCACCCATTATTTAGGATATTCAAAAAAGCAATTTTTGATAAAAATTGTACATGCCTGGTTTTTGCGCCAAGATCTTCAATTATAAAATATCCTAGCCCAAAATTCGACGAAGGAGGCAGTAATATCATGTAACGTAGCGAAGTAGAAACAAAGTTATAAAACTATCCATTACCCGCAGCGCTTTCGTGCCACTTGGCGCGGCAAAACAATCGATATAAGGATAAAAACCAAGCCTGCGAGCGCCCTAAATTCCGCCGTCACACCGTCTGCTCCCAAGGATTCTCGAGACGCAAAATGAGTATGTATTGTTCAGAATTTGCCGAACCCGCTAGAGAAACTTGATATTATTTACTCGTATAGGGTATTTTAATTATCCCGGCATCTTCCATTTCATCTTCTCGAAAGGGATATTTTTAGGACAATTGAAGGTGCAGACCGTGCGATGGGGAGTAGAAGAGCCGCTTCGTCGACAAAACAGATTCTCCTCTTGAGATGATACCTTAATAAAGACGGAAAACAATTTTAGGTCTGTTAGATGTGTTCATCGTAACATCATACGTGAAACCGTGGTTGTAATGCACCATTTCAAAAACTTTGCCGACATTTTGACAGGTGGGTTCTCTGTCTTATCTCTGTTTGACGACGACGATATAATATGCTAACTGTTAAAATAAGCCAGCATAAGCTGCGATTCTGGCAACAGATGGCACCTTATACTGTGTGCTTATACAGGGTGTTCCAACTATTGATGAGATTACTGGGAAAACAAAATTTAAAGAGTGTGTCACTGAGTTAAATACAACATCGGGAACAGTATTAAAAAGTACTCAACAGATATGCGATGAATTTGTACAATTCTTTACTGACATAGGCGAAAATTTAGCAAGTAATATACAAGCAAATGTACAAAATACTCAGCCTCCAAAAAGAACTTTGAACTCATTTATTTTGGATAAAGTCGAGCAATGTGAAGTATACGTATACACCACTGTTATGTCCTTAAAAAATCGAAAAAAGTCCTGGCTTCGATGGTATTAAAAGCGAGCATTTGAAAATTATAGCCGAGGACATAACAGAACCACTCACTTACCTAATCAACAAATGCTTTGAATCTGGCATATATCCCTCGATTTTAAAAAAAGGTAATATAATACCGATACATAAATCGAGAACAAAAACAGATGTTAACAACTATAGACCAATATCAATAATATCCAGTGTAGCAAAACTTTTTGAAAAAGTTTTATCTACTAGAATGATTAGATACCTCACAAAATTCAAAATTTTAAGTGAAAATCAATATGGATTTACAGAAGGGAAGGCTACATCGGATGCAATAACTAAAATTGTAAATCAAATACATCAAAATATTGATAACAGAATCCCTTCAATCTGCATTTTTGTTGATTTAAAGAAAGCTTTCGACACAATTAATCACAAATTATTATTAGAAGCATTGGAGAGAATCGGTTTCAGAGGAAACGCGTACTCACTGATCGAAAATTATTTGTCAAATCGCCCACAATCTGTGCAGATATCAGGATCATTTAGTAAAGAAATGTATATTAAGTGTGGGGTCCCACAAGGTACTGTCTTAGGTCCGCTGTTATTCAATATATATTTAAATGATATTTTCCAAATTAATTGTGTTGGCAAAATAACTAGTTTTGCAAATGATACTGCAATATTATATGAAGGCACTGACTGGTCTGATCTGAAAAATGTAATTGAAAATGATTTTATCAAAATTATTCGGTGGTTTAACAGTAGAAAATTAAGCATTAACTATTCTAAAACACATTTTTTGCCATTTGGATCTTATGCTAAACATCTGCCAAGTTACACAAATTTCTCCTTCAACATTAATGATAAAAAAGTGCAAATTAATAGAGTGCCCAACATAAAATACCTTGGAGTGGTCTTGGATCCTCACTTACGATGAGACATCCATGTCAATTATATTTTAAAGAAAGTTAGATTTGTATCCTACAAAATTAAATACCTTGGGAATATATTGACAGAAAAATATCTTCGAACCATGCACTGATTGAGCCTCATCTCACATATGGTATATTAGCATGGGGAGCTGCATGTTCCTCACATATCTATAATTTAGATGTTTTTCAAAAAAGTATTCTAAAAATGATATTTAAAAAACCGAAACTTTATCCCACTGAAAAATTATACGCAGATGTTCGAATGTATGATATAAGACAGCTTTATTTCTTACACAGTATCACTCACTACCATAAATTTGTAAACACCGCCCAAAAAATTAAACATAATCATTATACAAGGTACAAAATTCGTGGCACACTAGTTCCTCAACCGCATAAATCTATAATGCAGCGATCATATCTCTATTTAGCGCCTAAATTTTATGAAATTATACCTAAAGACTTAAAAGATTTACGATTCGGAAATTGTTTCAAAAGAAATTTAAAAAAATGGCTACATTCTGTATCTAGGACTGAAATTCATAAACTCATAAATACGAACATCAACTAAATACATAATCTACTGTAGCTAATTTTTGTCTTTTTTTGTCATTTGCATTCTACAGTTTCAACTTAAATTATTGGTCCATGTACAGGCGATGCCTTCTATTGGGCCTGTTTTGATTTTATATACTAAGTGACATATAAATCCGAACACCCAGTTTAAATGGTTTTATTTTAATAAAATTTTGTATAAGTACTTAAAGTTAGGTGGGCCTTATTCACCTCAGGCACCTTAGCACCACTTGTATTAATAGCATAAATCATGCAAGTCCCATAACATACCTGCTCCTTACACTGAGGTCATTTTGCATAGGTGGAGTATTGTTCGTCATATTTGGAGCGAAGATGTCGTCAGAAGAGGAGTTTTTTCGTCAGGAAGCGAACATGTACCGAGTGATGAAAATACCCTAGCAGAGTCAATAAGCGCCTGGGTAACAAAACAAAAAGTGAAAAACTAATAAAGGATGGTTTATTTTTTAAATTGGTGTTAAAACTACACTCAATAATATGTAACACTCGATACTTTATTCAGAAGAATACACCTTCCCATAACACTGGACAACAAATTTTAGTTTTTTAATTGTATCTTGTGGGAAAAGTGCACTTCTTTGTTAATTGAGGGGCGCTGAATCCAAAAATGACAATGAAATAAAAAAATTAGTTGCGGTTTAGAAAAAAACTTTTTATTTTTAAGGATATATTAAAAAAGTAACAAGATTCATATACTTATAAGAATCACTATATGCGCTGTCTTTTTGCTGTTCTTTTATGGATCGTTTCTGGAGCATCTCTAGAGTCCAACAGTAGTCTGCAAGCATGGAAGGATTCCACTTTCCCTGGTACCTTTTCTCCATTGATGAAATATCCTGATGAAAACGTTCGCCGTGCTCATCACTTACGGCTCCGCAATTGTCAGGAAAAAAGTCCAGGTGTGAGTGTAGGAAATGTATCTTAAGAGACATATTACAGCCCATCTTTTGATACGATGACAGCATATTTTTGACAAGGGTTTTATAGTTGTCAGCTTTTCTATTTCCCAAAAAATTAGTGACCACCAGACGGAAATCATTCCAAGCAGTTTTTTCAATACCTGTTAAAGTGTTTTCAAACTGTGTATCTTTCAAAATATTTCGAATCTGTGGCCCAACAAAAATACCTTCTTTAACCTTTGCCTCACTTAGTCTTGGAAATTTCTGACGCAGGTATTGAAAAGCTGACCCATCTCTATCTAATGCCTTGACAAAGTTTTTCATTGGGCCCAACTTGATATGCAGTGGTGGTAATAAAATTTTTTTCGAATCTACTAATGGCATATTTTTTTGACCTGGCTCTAGGAATTGACGAACAGGCCAGTTTTGTCTGGTGTAATGAAGTGCCTTTGCCCGACTGTCCCATTCACACAAAAAACAGCAAAACTTTGTGTAGCCTAGCTGCAGCCCAAGTAAAAGTGCAACAACTTTCAAATCGCCACAAATATGCCATTGGTGCTCATCGTATTTTATGCATGTCAATAGGTACTTCATATTGTCATATGATCCTTTCATCTGAACTGCATACCCTACAGGAAGAGATGGTAAAATATTTCCAATATGCAATAACACTGCCTTTAAACTCAATGTTGAACCGTCTATAAACAATCTCCATTCTTCTGGGTTATAGTTTATATTTAAAGCCGTCAGTAAGCCGTTAATGTTACTGCAGAAAACCAAGTTATTCTCCATATTGAAAAATGGCTGAGTCTTTGTGCCGTTTACGAAAAACACATACCGAAACATCGTCTTCTAACAAGTTCCACTGCTGCAGTCTTGATCCAAGTAACTCTGCCTTACATTTTGGAAGTTCTAAATCTCTTACAAGATCATTTAATTCTGACTGTGTTATTTTGTGCGGTTGGTGGCATGACATGCTCGGTATAAGATCTCTTGACGTTGATGGCATATCTTCTTCCTGACGAATCACTCGATCGCCATGATCTGATTCGTTTTCTGATTCGCAAGTGTAGGATTCTGGGGGTTTTCGTCACTGTGAGGCACAGGTCTCATCGCAGATGGTATGTTTGGGTAGTTAATAACCGATTTTTTTTTCTTGGACATACCTGTGGCTTGTCCAACACAAGGTACCATGCAAAAGTAACAATCATTAATATGATTTGTAGGCTCTCTCCAAACCATTGGGACAGCAAAGCGCATAGACCGTTTTTTGCCATTTAACCAGCTCCTCAGACTTGAAGCACATGTATTACAGCAGATGTGGGGTGCCCACTGTTTGTCTTGATCACCTAGTTTACAACCGAAATAAAGCTGATATGCCTTTGTTATTAGTGGAGTAATAGACCGTCTCTGAGACGCAAAAGTCACATCACCACACACGTAACAAAACTGATCTGGATTGTTTACACACTTTCGAGACATCTTGCATGAACGCTGTCAGCCAACTGAGGAAAAAATGGCTAATATAAAACAATATAATGTACACGTATGTATAACGTAACACAATCATGCCGATTACATCATCTTTCCTTGCCGAATATAAAAATGTAGCACGTGCATTCTTGTGAATTACAGTATATTAACACTGTCACAGCAGGAACACATATAATTACCGTATCTCTAAAACTTGAACTGATATTGAAAAAATAAGTTTCATTCCGGTTTTAGCACATTAAAAATAGTAATATTTTGTTGATTTTATTTAGGATATTTTTTGACTGTTGATCAGTGTAATTTATGAAAAATAATTTCAATTAAATCAATACGGATATTTTCCTTAAGAACATCAATTGTTTGAGGATCGTTAGTGTAACAGCGGTCCTCAACAGTACCCCAGTAATCCATGGGCGTTAAATCGCAGCTGCGGGCTTGCCAATGAACGTCTCCAAAACGACTGATAACGCGATGACCGAACTAAGTGCGTAAAAGATCGATTGTTTCACGGCTGGTGACTGGTCAACATGTCTCTGAAGCGTTCACCGTTTACCGTCAAGCTGTTACCATCTACTTGAAAAAACAAGGGACCAATAATACCACCACCTCAAAAGCCACACCAAACAGTTACTCTTTTTGGATGCATTTGTTCTTCTATGTCGACATGTGGATTTTCAGAACATCAAATCCTACAGTTCTGCTTGTTAACGTAACCTCCCAGATGGAAATTAGCTTCGATGATTTGGCGACCAAGATTGACGTCCATTTCCAATTGATTTACAGCCCACACAGAAAAAAGAAGTGGTAACACTGTCAAAATAATACCAACTTAAAGAAACCAACTGATGGTCCACCATTTACATTACAAGGTAAAAGTAAACTCTTTTGACAAAATACTTTCGATTGAACGAATTTCTGAATGTATCCATTTAAAAAAAAAGTTTTAATTTAGTTTTACAAACAATAAAAAAATAGGCGGCACAATAGGTATTTTATATCAGTAAGACTAACTGAACACATTGGACCGTTCAAACGAATTATGTAATATTTTTATACATTTCTCATAATGTACTATTCAAATAAAAAAGTAAGGAACACAATTAGTATTTTTTGCTATCGATTTATATTTCTAAATGTCATCATAATGTTCATGTATAAATCCATATTAAAAACAATGTATACTAAAAAATGTAGATATTTATTTTATGGATTTCGGTAGGTAAAATGTATTTAAAGCTTGTCATGATTGGTTTCCATCGAAAGTTATATCTAGCATCAAGATGTCACTACTACTGATTTTTTTCATGACTGTCCTGTATCTCACCCTTGCTATGGGAAGGGGTTACTATCGCAGTAAGTAAAGTATCGATTTGTGTGTCAACACATCTTCTATGACTTAGTTTTACCTTAATGCATCCACCATACACGAATTTTCTGAACTCCTAATAAATCCAACGTATAGTCTTTTTAACAGACTTTCTTCTTTTGTGGTACTCTGTGACTGTACTGACACATCCATTACTAATAATTACATGTGATTTAACAAAAGCAGTAGCTCTCATACTTGTTGATTTTACTAAAGAATTTGACACCATTAATCACTCACTTCTTGTGACTAAATGCAGTTATTATGGATTTTCTGAAAAACCTCTTTCGTTTATTCAAACCTACCTTGAAAATCGGTATCAAAAAGTTCGTCTAAATCAACAGTACTCTACCGAACAAAAATTTTGTTCTGGTGTACCACAGGGATCAGTCTTAGGACCCCTATTATTTTCATTATATATCTCAGATTTAGAAACAGAGGTAAAATCACGCAGCATACAATTTTTTGCAGACGATAGTCAAATTTTCTATTCATTTAGGAGTAATAGCTTGGAAACAGCAAATCATGAAATTAATCAAGGTCTTGTCCAAATGGAAAAGTTCGGTAGTAGTCATAATCTTCGTATGAACCCTTTGAAGATAAATATGTTGGTGTACGCAAAAAGAACAAAAAAGAATACTTTAAAAAGGGACACAGACATACATTTAAAAGGTAATAAATTAGTTCCTGTGGATCATAGTTCGAAGAACCTAGGTATATTTTTATATTTCGTACTATTAAGGGGGTAGGGGGTGGTAGAATATACTATCTAAATCTCGCCTCCTGTAAGAATATTACAAAAAAAATACGTTAATTATACTAAGTGACATATAAATCCGAACACCCAGTTTAAATGGTTTTATTTTAATAAAAGTTGGTGAATGTATTTATCTTACTGTAACTAACAAGTGAAAAAATTTTCAGCCTACTCAGTTGGACATTCCGGTTTTTATACTGCTTTTTTTTAATTCACTAACGCTCTAAAAATGAATATTTCAGCCGCAGTAAAGAATCAACGTTGTCGGATTTTGGTTCTTGACATCCTTTACGATCGGTTACGATGCCTAGAGTACGGAGACCTGTACGATTTCGTCAACTTAGTGAGTTTGATAGGGGCCTTTAGTGGGACTTCGGGAAGCTGGACTTTCTTTTCGGGCAATTGCAGTTAGAGTGCAAAGAAGTGTAGACACTGTGGTTAGGTGTTGTCAGGCATGGCTTCGAGAAGGCCGTACGCAAAGAGCAAGGGGCACTGGACGCCGCCGTAGAACAACAGACCGTGAAGATCGCCGCCTAAGATTATTGGCTTTAAGGGACCGTTTCTCCACTACCAGGTCCATTGCAAATGAATGGTTTGCAGAACACGGAAGACCTATTGGCATGCGAAGTATTTACCGACAAATGAGAAGTTTTGGCTTGTTTTCATACCGGTCACACTGGGTCCTCCCTTTAACTCGAGAACACGACGTAATCGCCTTGAGTGGTGCAGACAACGGTCACTCTGGGATCAGGAATGGAACAGTATTGTCTTTAGTGACGAGTATCGATTTTGTTTAGGCATGCACGATGGCCGTGTTAGGGTTAGAAGGCGACGTGGTGAAAGGAGGAATCCACAGTTTTTTGTTGAAAGACATGTTCATCACACTGTTGGAGTTATGGTTTGGGGTGCTATAGCTTATGGTTCCAGGCCACCTTTAATCTTCATCAGAGGTAACATGAACGCGCAGCGTTATATCCACGAAGTTCTAGAACCCCATCTTTTACCCTATATTGACACCCTGGCAGATCCAACTTTCCAACAAGATAATGCCCGACCACATGTTGCAAGAGTCACAATAGACTTCTTTCAACATAATGATGTCACATTGTTACCATGGCCACCAAGATCTCCCGACTTATCCCCAATTGAGCACGTGTGGGATATGATGGGTAGGAGATTGCTCAATTTGCGAAGTCCTCCTCAGACTCTAGAAGCACTTCGAGAACAGTTGGTGGTTGCCTGGAATGAGATACCACAGGAGGACATTGACCACCTGATCAGAAGCATGCCTAGGCGCGTTGGAGAATGCGTAGTACATCAGGGTGCATCCACACATTATTAAAGGTCAAAGGGCTTTAAAGCAGTGCAATCATTTTGAAATTTTTATCATTTACTTATTATGCTTCATTAAGTACTTATACAAAATTTTATTAAAATAAAACCATTTAAACTGGGTGTTCGGATTTATATGTCACTTAGTATATTATTATTATTATATCTAAAGGACAATTTGTTTTTAGGCTTCGACCAACACCAATTTGATAGCCTAGGTAAGAACTTATTATATGTATAATATGCATCTCGTGGAAGATACCGGTGTGAGAAATGGGAGAGCGAATTTACTGGGTTGTTGAATCTTCTGCTAGACGAATGGCAATGAGTCAGTGTTACCAGTCACAATTTACACTCCGTATAATCCCTTCTGTACAATATTGGTGGTAACATACTGTATTCCAAAAATTTCTGTTCATGCCAACTTTTCAAAGATATACAGGCTGTCTCAGAAGCAGACGTCAATCCGGGAACGGGGAACAGGCCAAGTCATAATTGTTATCAGAAAAAAAAGTTGTGTACTTTTCAAATTGTAGGTTTTGAAAAATTGGAAGTATCGGAAAAACCTGCACCCCGTGAAAAAGCTTCTTGATATGCTACACGAATTTAACATTTAACTGATACCGTAAATGTACGAGAACTGAATGCTTCTTTATCAACAAACAATACACGTAACCACCACAAGAACTTAACAGAAAAACCTGACCATTTTATCACTTGTTGTTCATGGCAAGATAAATAAACATACGTAGGTGTTTACTTATATTTAATTTAAGATCCTCCAATGTTCGAGTATCCATCGTATGCTGGCCGTTTCTACAACTGAAGCCTCCCACAGGATCAGAACCGGACACCGCTACGCCCATTTTAAGTTTATCTATATATTCCAATATAAGTCAATAATCAATAAAAACTGAGGATATCGAGGAAACAGTTGTTTTTCTAATGCTGAATTCGTTTGACGAAACTAATGCAATTGACAATTTAGTAGAAGTACTATAATCATATACAACAACACAGTGCAAGGATGCATTTTGTGATAGAAATAGATTAAGATAGAAAGTGAATAAAATAAAGTATTGCAATTTGTTAGTTACTCAAAACTAAGTTAAGAACAAAAAACATGACTAGATAATAATAAAACTGTTCAAGAATCTCAGTTAGGTAACATTTTTTCTCATTTACAGTTAGTGAGATTCCATTACTTGTATGACTAAACATACAGTGAAATTAATAATAATATACTAAGTGACATATAAATCCGAACACCCAGTTTAAATGGTTTTATTTTAATAAAATTTTGTATAAGTACTTAATGAAGCATAATAAGTAAATGATAAAAATTTCAAAATGATTGCACTGCTTTAAAGCCCTTTGACTTTTAATAATGTGTGGATGCACCCTGATGTGCTACGCATTCTCCAACGCGCCTACGCATGCTTCTGATCAGGTGGTCAATGTCCTCCTGTCCTCCTGTGGTATCTCATTCCAGGCAACCACCAACTCCTCTCGAAGTGCTTCTAGAGTCTGACGAGGACGTTGCAAATTGAGGAATCTCCTACCCATCATATCCCACACGTGCTCAATTGGGGATAAGTCGGGAGATCTTGGTGGCCATGGTAACAATGTGACATCATTATGATGAAAGAAGTCTATTGTGACTCTTGCAACATGTGGTCGGGCATTATCTTGTTGGAAAGTTGGATCTGCCAGGGTTTCAAGATAGCGTAAAAGATGGGGTTCTAGAACTTCGTGGATATAACGCTGCGCGCTCATGTTACCTCTGATGAAGATTAAAGGTGACCTGGAACCATAAGCTATAGCACCCCAAACCATAACTCCAACAGTGTGATGAACATGTCCTTCAACAAAAAACTGTGAGTTCCTCCATTCACCACGTCGCCTTCTAACCCTGGCACGACCATCGTGCATGCCTAAACAAAATCGAGACTCGTCACTAAAGACAATACTGTTCCATTCCTGATCCCAGAGTGACCGTTGTCTGCATCACTCAAGGCGATTACGTCGGTGTTCTCGAGTTAAAGGGAGGACCCAGTGTGGCCGGTATGAAAACAAGTCAAAACTTCTCATTCGTCGGTAAACACTTCGCATGCCAATAGGTCTTCCGTGTTCTGCAAACCATTCATTTGCAATGGACCTGGTAGTGGAGAAACGGTCCCTTAAGGCCAATTATCTTAGGCGGCGATCTTCACGGTCTGTTGTTCTACGGCGGCGTCCAGTGCCCCTTGCTCTTTGCGTACGGCCTTCTCGAAGCCATGCCTGACAACACCTAACCACAGTGTCTACACTTCTTTGCACTCTAACTGCAATTGCCCGAAAAGAAGGTCCAGCTTCCCGAAGTCCCACTATTCGGCCCCTATCAAGCTCACTAAGTTGACGAAATCGTACAGGTCTCCGTACTCTAGGCATCGTAACCGATCGTAAAGGATGTCAAGAACCAAAATCCGCCAACGTTGATTCCTTACTGCGGCTGAAATATTCATTTTTAGAGCGTTAGTAAATTAAAAAAAAGCAGTATAAAAACCGGAATGTCCAACTGATAAGGCTGAAAATTTTTTCACTTGTTATTTACAGTAAGATAAATACATTCGCCAACTTTTATTAAAGTAAAACCATTTAAACTGGGTGTTCGGATTTATATGTCACTTGGTATATAAGTGATAAAAAATAGACAAATAAGAGAGGGCTAGCAATACGCTATAGGTAAGATATCACCTAGTGTAATGTGATATGCACAATTGTTATAGAATCTTTATTGACTAATCTGGCTAGCAGATTCCAGAACGTGGTTTTTGGTGGTTTTTGTGAATATCATTAGAAACATTATAGGCTTTCACACCATACGATGTTAGTTTTATAACTAGGTATGATGAAGTCGCCGTTATGACAATTGATAAATTGATTTACTTTTTGGACAATCTATCGAAACAGAAACGCTCAATTTGCACAAATCGCACCTCCGCAAGGGTACTGAATTTTCCGTCATAAAAAAAATTTAGATGCCGTATGTTGCCCTATCTACCTACTTTTTCAGCTTTTTAGACAGTGGTAAAAACGCAAGTTAAACTATGTATTTCTCAAAATTTTCAAATGAAACATCCTATATATTTTATCATTTTTTGATTACTCAACTGCACGACTTGCTGCGTTGGTCTTGTTTAAGCCCAACCAAAGCTCATTATAGGCATTGAAATCACCGAGAAGAACTACCTCTGCAGTGGAGAGACTGATGTTCGATCTTGACAGCGAGGTATTGATGGTGTACCCTCGAGTTCGCCCTCCACCCGGACATTGAGCTTCCTTTCGGAATTCTTAGTACTCGAGGATCTATCGTCATTAATTTCTTTGTTTGGTTGCGTAGATTAGGTGTGGAAACATGCGGATATTCTTAACACTCACTGGAAAAGGCTAGCGGGTGGTAACGCCTCGATCGACTAGTCATTGCCTACCACCTTCTTCTTGCGTGTCAATGATGTTAAATAGAGCTTGACCTAGACTTGTATCGCCACTTGACCACAGTTGCCGATGTATTCCTTAAAGGGTGCAATCACTTGAACGGGAAAAAGTTGTATACCGAATACAACAACTTCAGGAACAAGCAGGAATCATTGATAAACAGAAGAAATAGCAATGGTCCCAAGGTACTCCCTTGGAGAGTCTATTTTGGCGTCCGATTTAATATTGTCAAATGTTTTGTATTGTTATCTTTGCTGCTTAACCCCTGCCTAATAAATAAGTTCTAATCCAGTTATAGGAACAGCCACGTGCACCATTTTTGTTCCAATTTATTCAATAATAAGGTATGGTTAATGGATTATCAGTAACTGTTTCATTGGTTTTTGATTTTTCCACGTACGGTAACAATATGTGATCACTGGGAATGGAAATGACCTATTCTATTCGTTTAGTGCTGAATAAAAGTGTGCTGCGCTTAGCAAATATTGACATAGTAGTTATACCAATATTGAAGATGACCAAGCTGCTACTCTTTACCTTTTTTGCGATTCTTTTGTGCCTACATTTTTCACTTTGCCTAGGTAAGTGAAAGACTAACAGGAGGTTTATTAGTTCTTACTTAGATGCAGGAAACTTCAAAATCAAATTAGCTTTTATTAATTCTATTAAAAGTCTAAGGCAAACGTTCTGTTGACTAAAGCAAATTAAGAATTTAGTACATTATTTAAAAAAAATTGTGTTTTAGGCCAGCGAGAAGTTGATCTTTTGAGACGAGTTGAAGAACGTGAGTAAGAATTGAATCAAAATATGTTGTGGTAACGGCAAGATTATTACGTAAAAAACCTATAAAAGTTCAATAAACGAGACAAAATATCAACACTGCTACTGCTACGAAAAATAGATCAAACAAAATGTTGAGTCGAACTTAATGTCATGCTCTATGTCGCGCATCGTTTTATCTTTTGAATTCAAATAACCAAGTGATTTAGTACAGCATTGTGAAAAAGTATTTCTGTTTCAGGACAGGGAGAATCTGATTATGGTGAGTACGATAGTTTTTATCTCATTTGTGTCTGTGAACGCAAAGTATGCACAGCCCATGGAGACGGAAATCAAATCAATTTTTATTAGTTCTAATAGAATACGAAAGTAAACGTTACGATAGTCATTATTTAAATTTTTTTAGAGAAAAGCTACTTTAAAGTAAAATAAAATCTGACAACGCCGCAATGCCAGACGCTAATTAGGACGGAACGCAGTGTAAATAAAGATGGAGTTTGTCATTTTTGGCTCTTAGGTATTATTTCATTATTTGATAATGTACTCGTGATCCAGCGATTTGGATAATGTTTATTCAAATAGTGAATGACGCCTCTAAGAATGTGTGGTGGTGCCCCGTCATGAAGAAATCACAAATTCTGTCTCCGTTGTAATGGCATGTTGTCTAAGGTCTGTTCCAAAAGTTCTGGTAGGTTATTGGCTAGAAAGCTAAGGTATTCTTCTCGTGATAACTTTAAGGGTAACTCGAAAGGGCCAATTACCTGTTCGTCAAGAATACCCGCCCAAATATTTATTATAAAACGTTGGAAATGACCTTCACGAATGGTATGAGGATTTTCTTGGGCCCACGTGTGAATATTATGGAAATTTAATATCCCGATAGTCTTACCCGGCGGCCTAATTCCCGAGTGCTGATATCTGCATTGATTCCCACGATATTTAAAATTTGTTCCTCCTGCTCTACAGTAACCTGTCTTTCACGAGTGCGAATATTAGTGGGCTGAACACTTCCAGTATCTCCAGATCCTCATACATTTATAAGAGACATAGATGAACTATTAAAAAACAATGAAAACAATCACCTTCATAATCAAATATTTATAGGCGACATCAATATAAACATTTTAGAGGAAAATTCTATGGTGAAAGAATATTTAAACATTTTATCAAGTAATGGTTTTTTATCATACATAAATAAAGTAACACGACCCACCAGTAAAACCTGCATTGATCACTGCTTTATAAAGGATATTTCCAATATTTTTTCATACATGCCTATTATCTATGAAACCGATATTACAGATCATTATTCCACTGTATTATTGATATCTTCACAAAATAAAAACCAGAACTGCCCAAGGACAAAAAATGAAAGAAACCTTGAATACAAATATTTCACTGACAACTCAAAATTAATATTTAATGCACAAACGGAATCGTGGGACGAAATTTTTTTAACAAATTCTTTAGACGAAGCTACAAATTTATTAATACACAAAATTCAAAAAGTAATTGAAGTTAGTACTAATAAGGTTAAAATAAGTCACAAGGAAAAAAGCAGAAACGATTGGATGACCAAAGGACTAATAAAATCTGCAAACGAAAAAGAAAGACTGTATAAAATCATGAAATACTTACCCATGAAAGAAAATATAGATCATTATAATCAGTATAAAAAGAAATTTATAGAACTTTTGAGAAAAGCAAAAAAAAATTACTACATAAAACAATTGAATAATAATTCACATGACTCTAGACACCTATGGTCCACTGTCAATGATATATTCAATAAGTCATCCTATTCAAAAAACAATATTAATGAAATAAAAACAAAAACAGGACAGAAAACAGACAATATTCAGCAAATATGTGATGAGTTCATAGAATTTTTCACGAATATAGGAGGAAACTTAGCAAATAATATCAAACAAAATGCTGATATTCATCTGCATGAAACAAGACTGAATAATTCATTTGTATTAACTGAAGTAGACTATCAGGATGTTTTCAATGCCATTATGACTCTAAAAAATAAAAAAAGCTCTGGAGTTGACGAAATTAGAGCTGAACATCTAAAGATACTGGCCAAACAAATAACAGAACCACTTGCTTATATCATTAACAAATCCTTCCGATCTGGAGTATTTCCATCAGCTTTCAAGACAGCAATCATCATACCTATCTATAAATCTAATGATAATACGGACGTCACTAACTATCGACCTATTTCACTTATATCAAGTTTAGTTAAAGTTTTTGAGAAATTACTCCTTAATAAAATGATTAATTTTCTTAATAAATTCAAAATTCTAAATTCAAATCAATATGGTTTTGTAGCGGGCAAATCTACAACAGATGGGGTATTAAGTATAGTAGATGAAATAACCCAAAATATAGATGGAAAAGTACCATCGATATGCGTATTTGTGGACTTACAAAAAGCGTTTGACACAGTTAACCACAATATACTTTTGGAAATCTTAGAAAGAGTAGGTTTTCGTGGAAAGATGTATACTTTAATGGAAAATTATTTATCAAATAGACCGCAATCAGTAAAATTATTAAGCTCGTATAGTAAAGAAATGTTTGTTAAATGTGGTGTTCCACAAGGTACAATTTTGGGTCCTCTGTTATTCAATATTTATTTAAACGATATATTCAAAATTAACAGTACTGGTACAATAGTCAGTTTTGCAGACGATACTGCTATACTCTATAAAGGTAAGGATTGGAACGACTTAAAAGATATTATCCAAAATGACTTTTGCAAAATTATTAAGTGGTTTAATAACCGAAAATTAACAATTAACTTTATTAAAACTCATTTTTTACCATTTTCATCACTATCTAATCATCTACCAAAATATAACCACCTTCGGTTTAAGGTAAATGATAAAAATATAAAAATCAATAGAGTTAATGATACAAAATATTTAGGAATTTATCTAGATCCCCACTTGAGATGGGATGTACATATTTCTCACATACTAAAGAAAATTAGATTCATAGCATATAAAATAAAATTTCTAACCGGTATATTAACTGAATATTATCTACGAATAATATATCAAGCTTTAGTCGAGCCACACATAACATATGGTATAGTAGTGTGGGGTGCTGCATGCACGACATACTTTAACGATTTAGATGTACTTCAAAGAAGAATTTTAAAATCAATGTTAGGCAAATCAAAATTATACCCAACTAATGACTTATATAATGATGCACAAGTATATGATACTAAACAACTTTACTTCTTACATACCATCACTCATTATCACAAAACTATTAGTGAACACGACATAATTACACATAATCATAAAACCAGATATAAATTACGCGCAAAAAATGTTCCTAATCCAAACAAATCCCTAATGAAACGATGTCACCTGTATATAGCTCCAAAATTGTACGAACATTTACCAAATAATTTAAAACAATTACACAATACATTAGGCTTCAAAAAAAAATTAAAAAAATTTATTAACACGATTGGGAGAAATCAAATTAATAAAATAATCTCAAATATTACACAATAAATGCTCTACCATTCTTACCAATAATTTCTTTTTTCTCTCTATTTTATTATATTTTGCAATTCAACATACATATGATCCATGCACAGGCGTTGTCCTCCTATGGATATACTATATTTATTTACTCATTTCATGTTCCCTGTATTTTAGAGTAAATAAATATTATTATTATTATTATTATTATTATTATTATTATTATTATTATTATTATTATTATTATTATTATTATCTCGAAGTTTTTGGTACACTTGCACAAATGTCCTTCTGTCTGGCGAGCTTTACCGTAAACCAACATGTCGGCGAACTCTTGATTCGAGAACATTGTAAACAAACACGACGACGTACGCGAACAAAAACAAAACAGGCCCGATGCCCGATAACTAACCGTTTGCGATCGATTGCCGGTTCGATAAGAGTGATGACGACGCGCTGTTGTCATGTGTGTTTTAGATATTTAATTTAATGAAACTTACTTACTGGCTACAAATTTTGGCTTAACTTAGAAAAACTTAATGCCATTTATTTGTTAAATACCCAATTTAAAGACGTTCTAGATTAGATTATAAAAATTAGTAAGATTGTGGTGATTGTGGTCGATATAAAGCACTTAAAGCTGTAAACTATAAAGCCATTTAGGCAAAAATCTATTGACTTTTGGACCATGTGTCATATAATTTTTTTTTGACTTGTTTTGACACCCCTATTACCCATTCCAATAATGACCAGCATAACGTTTACACCTGTATGAATTCTCTGTTGAATAAAGCAAATCAATAATATAGTTCAATGTTCCTTGACGAAAATCTGTGGTTTAGGCCAAGGAAAGTTCGATCCACTTCCAATAGAATCTGGAGAAGGACGTAATTGGAACAAAATATATTGAAGAAGAATCTCACTAACCTTTCCATTGCTTTCGCATACTTCAGTAGCTAAAAACATACGACTAGACAAAGTTCAAATTTTAGTATCATATTACAGTTCCAATGGCACTTGCAGAGGTGAAAGTAACACAAAGGAAACTTTTTTGCGATTTATTTGTGCTTAACTAACTAGTAGGAGGTTTATTGGTACTTAGATGGAGGGAAGGAAGTTTAAACATGCATTTAATATTAAACATTTGACACAAATCTATATTTTAGGTCCAGGAAAGTTTGATCCGCCACCGATATTTCCAGGTAAAGATTGTAAGTTAAAATGATGTTTCAAAAGCTTTTACATTCCTTAGTAGCCAATATAGACAGGCTAGAATTAAAATCACATAAAAATTCGGATGGTACTACAATGAAGAAGTCAAGCAAAATATTGTACTCGAACTTAATGCTGTTAAAGGCATATTCTCTTATCTCTTGAATTCAAATAACCAAAAAAATCAGTACAGCAATGTGAAAAATATTTTTATTTCAGATGTGGAAGACATTTTTAATGGTGAGTTAGATGATTTTTATGGGTGAACACACGGTAGGCACAGCTCATGTGGACTCTATTGGTTATTCAGTTGAGAATATATTGCTTTGAAATGATCATAATTATCTGTGATTCAAAAAATGTACACGTTTCGGCACATTACTGGTCCGTGATGTTTGTATGCAACGTATAACAAAGGGCGTATATTGCAGATGATAATGAGTTGAAACCACCTTTCATAAATGAGGGTTAGTTACATCACCTTTTCGTACTTTTTGCAAAAATGCTCCGACAAATATTTGCAGCAAACTACCAAGCACTAGCTTTACATCCTCATCTTGCACGATAAAGATGACAGATAACCTTCTTCTGGCTCATAACTGCTCAATCAACAATATTATCACCTCTATTAGGGTTGCAAGAATGTTTATAAGGTATTCCTTACACAGCATTGTATATTGAAAGATCATTGGCATAACCTAACAGGACACTTCAGTCACCTAAAAGGTGTACAGGGTGTCCGGAAAGTAATAGGACTGAGTCGATTTGAAAAAATTTATTGAGCCAATCGTTACAATTCTTTAAAAACTTCCAAAATAGGCTCCTTCTGCGTCTATGCAGCGCTGCCAGCGCGATTTCCAAGCATTGAAGGCGTCACGGAAGGCATTATCCGGAATAGTCTTAAGGGCCGCGGTGCATTCTGCTTGGATCCCCTCTGTCGTCTCAAAATGATTGCATTTCATGCGGAAGCGTTGGGATGCCGGCCTTGGTCAGGTAGCTGTTCACAAGCAAGGCGGTGTCAGCCGGGGCGTTGTCGTGGTACAACTTCCAGTCGGCTGCGATGTCTTGTCCGACCCGACTGACCCTTCGTTTGAGTCTCCTGAGCACTTACACGTTGACCGTTTGTCCAGGAGGAACAAATTCGTGGTGGACGATGCCTTTGATGTCAAAAAAGACAATGAGCATCGTTTTCACTTCGGATTTGCTCATTCTTCTCTTTTTTAGGCGAGGAGATGCCGTCGTGTGCCACTCGGAACATTGCCTCTTTGTCTCGGGATCATACTCAAAGATCCACGACTCGTCACCTGTGATTACGTTATTCAAAAATTGGGGTCACTTTCACACATATTCAAATTTTCTTGGCACACTTCCACTCAAAAGTGAGTACAGTCATGGCGGAACAAAATGAGTCCTATTACTTGCCGGACAAACCCTGTATATTGGCCGGATGTGTAAATACTCTTGTAGATGCATGAAATCTTAAGATACATAGAGGAGCATGGCTTGTCTAAGTAGTTGACTTTCTCGTCTCCAAAGTCCAGTGGGTTAAAGTTCGAGACTAAACATTACACTTTCTACAAAAAGAATTACAAAAAATTCAAATCGCTTCTTCCCATTATATGTCTAAATGTCTTGTCAAAAGATGGAACTACATAGGAATGGATAGGGATATTCATCTAACCAGTGAAAACTTGAGTTTTCGAAAACCTTACAGTATATTCAGATAAGAGATAGACCGGACATAAACAAGACCACGTGATCATCGAACGCTGTAACATTCGGCAGGGACGTATTAAGAGTCACGCAGTACATATTTTACATAGTAGATGCTGCTTTGCGTAACTTTGTAGTAAATTAGCACAATTCGATGTGTATACGATTGGTGATGGATATAGGATCATGTGGGGGTGGGGTAAGAAATATATAATGATGTAAATATACATAAACGTTTCAAAATTTTCGCTTCGATTTCCAGCTTCGGATGCCGTCTGATGTTTGGTGAAATACAGTCGAATCTAATCTCAAAATGGCGTTTAAATTAGCCTAAATTAAAAATAATCGTATATCTCTTAAAATTGCTTTTAGAATATTGATTAGTATATTTTTTGATTTCTAGGTAAATATGTAACCAAATTAAAACGTTCAAAACGTAAAAAAATGTGCATGGTTGAACATTGTCAGAAAGTAGATTCTTGAATAGGTTTTGCCAAAATGGGTTCAAAAATGTCAATAATTAATTAAAAAATACAGTAGCTTTATACTTACTTATAACTTACCGAATTTGATGAACGACATCTTTTATTGGAAAGATGAGCTTGATGAGCTTTCATCATCGCTACTGCCTGAAGCACCAACGTCAATAATCAATGGCTCGACTTGTTCCTCTAAAATATTGTCCAGTTCCCACATTCTCTTTTCAATTTTGTCTTTCACGTGCTTAATACAGTTTTCCCATTTTTGCGCTGTTATTAATTCTAGTGCTTCTTTGAAAAGTCCTTTGAGGTCACAAAATTTAAAAGTTGTATTGTGCTTAGCTATATAATTTTTAACCTCTGCCCATATGAGCTCAATGGGATTGAGCTCGCAATGGTATGGAGGTAAACGGAGCACAGTTTTATTTTGACTTGCTGCCATTTCGTCAATGGCGTATTTTTGATATTCCGCCTTGTGATACTTGACAATTCTTAATAATTGTACTTTCAGCATTGCTTCTTCAAAGTTGGCAGTTAATAAAGGCATTATTATTATTATTATTATTATTATTATTATTAAAAGTTGATATTTTTCGAGCGGAGCCAATTTTGAACATCAAGTTTCCTTGAAGCCGTTGTTGGGACCTTCTCCATTCTTCGAGAATGATAAGGCGCATTATCCAACACAATTACTGCGTTTTCCTCTAACTTCGGTAAAATTTTTGAAAACCACTGTTCAAACGATTCGCCATTCATTTCCTCGTGGTAATCTCCAGTTTTCTTAGACTCAAAGCACCACAGACCGTCAACAACAAATCCATCCTCACTGCCAATATGGCAGATAATGAGCCTTTTCCCTTTACCTGGAAATCGAAGTACTAACTGGTGTGGATTTATTTCAATAAGCGAACCTTTTTCAAATGTTTTCATCACATTCAGCGAAAAAACATTCAGACATGAGTATCAGATTGCTATAATTGGGATTATTTAGTCATATTGAAAGAAAGAATATTGAACGTCGTATGATTACTCAGCGCTTCACAATTTAATTTAAAGTTATAAACCTCGAAAAAATGAATGATCAGGAACCTGAAATACGCGCAAATATTAATATTAACAAATTATAACTTTATAAAGCTTAAAGTATGAATTAAAATGATTAGAAATATTAGGAACGGTACACAATATAAAACTTAGTAACTTTTTTTAAGTTTATAATATTCGATATATTTTAAGATTATATTAAAAAATTATTGAAATATCGAAAACACATAAAAACATGGCTTAAAAAAGTTCTAACAAATGAAAATGACAATAAAGCATCCACGCATTTTATCGAAAGTTATAAAAGTTTTGTTACTTGTAATATGTTTTATCTGCCCCCTGGAATTAATGTTTAGAACCTTGTTCCCAAGGTTTTAAAAACATCCGATTGTTGTCTATTACTCGTATTTACCTGCTGGATTTTTTAATCCGGTGGACAGTCCATCTAGAAAGGCCCTCCTGGATGAAGTTACAGAATCATCAACCCATACTTTACTTGTAGTGTGTCCTGCGTTTACCCATGTTTCATCAAGGTAATAAATCTTCCTGTTTTGATTTCTATATTTCCCAATTTTTGTTAAATAATCCCTCCTCCATAGCACAATTTCTTCTCTATCCAGTAGTAAACTATTACGACCCCGTTTTTTCCATTTGAAATTTAAATGCTTCAGTAACGCATGGAAAGTTGATCGTGTGAAATTTGGCAACGTTGTATCTCCATTTACCTCCTGCAGTACTTTATCTATAGTAGGTATTTCATTCCTAAAGAATAATTCGTGCACTTTCCTCCTAATCGCATGCTTATCAGCTTCATCCAATGATTTAACAATACTTTTGCGATGTTTACTGGTCATTGGCTCAGAAAAGGTGTGATTTTTTTTGTATTGTCTTAACACATTAAACACTGATGCGCGACACACCCCAAATTTGTGAGAGACCTTCACAACAATTTATTTGATGGTTGATGCCTCGTTCTCCTGGCGCTCGATCTTATATATATTCAAAATGACCTCGTTCATTTCTGCACTCAGGTGTCTTTTTTAGAGCGTTTCCTAGGTGGACTACAGGAGTTTACAACTTCATCGGCAGTATCTGTACTACTGGGCATTTTGCGCAAGCAGTTGATAACAATAACAATCAATAACAAGGTATAACAATAACAACGACAAACTCAACAACTTAATAAGATAACAAACGAAAACGTCCAAAGAAATATCAAATTGCAATGAAGCACACGACATACGTAACACGTCTGAAATGTGACTCTGCCTTGATACGACTGCTCTGCCGCTCGGCATAGGCATTTAATTGCGAATTGACCAATGAGGGCTCCTGTTTTACGTCGAGACGGCGGCGTTAGCGTGAAAATCACCCGAACCTTTTGTTTACATCCGGTCTATCTCTTATCTGAATATACTGTACAAACGTTTAAGATATCACTATGCTCCTATCCGCTTACGTAATAAAGTAGTAACATCCATCAAGTACCAAATCATCTTCATGATAAATTCTTGTATCTGTCTATCTTAGGCTTATGGGAAATCCAGTAAATTCTTGCGGCCATGACTGAGCGCTTGATAATGAAGTTCTGTATGTATGACAAATATACTTTATGAAAACTAATCTGTTTATTATTTTATCCTACCATGCTTAAAAGAATGACGTCAGGTAAGTTGACGCTGAAAATGATCAGGATCGTCTGAAACATTAAAAAACGAGCTTTGAGCAAGTTGGTTGAGGCTTTCGCGACCAGTCGATAAACTGCTGTCTTGATTCCAGCATCGGAAATGTAACGAACTCTGAAGAAGCTTGCCACTCGTGCTAGCGAAACGTTAGGAAGAAATTCCAACCGACGACGTCCTTTAAACCCGAATCAAGACAGGAGTTTGAGCTTTGAGCAGTTTTAATTTTTTTTCAGTTGGGACCCCACCTTCGTGACTGAAAAATGTTGTTCCTTGAACGGACTGTATTTTGAATAACGCCACTGAGGTGGTCGGAAAGTCCGTAAAAATGTTCTGTGGTTACATGGAGATGAAGCTGGTAACGAATATAATCAGCACTCACTTCCATCCAGGATAAACTTCCGGTCTGTGAATGAATAATTGCTGGTCTGGTGGAGCAGAAAAACGAGTTTTCTATGCTACAATAGACTCGTTGGCCAGCGCAACTGCATCCAGCGATGTTGCCTAGACACGCCCCACCCCCTCTTTTTCCCCTATGCATTGCGGTCTGTAACGAGGCATATACAAGAGTGCATAGTAACACAACTCCATGAGAATTGAAATATATCACTTCCTACGTCACTCGAGAGTACTGTAGTCGATAAAATTTCACTACGTTTTTTGTATGCACAACACGAAAAACCGTTGTCACTCATTTCCTGCGAGCAGTCGCTCTGTCCGCTATAGATAGATAGACAGATATATGTATACTAAGTGACATATAAATCCGAACACCCAGTTTAAATGGTTTTATTTTAATAAAATTTTGTATAAGTACTTAATGAAGCATAATAAGTAAATGATAAAAATTTCAAAAGATTGCACTGCTTTAAAGCCCTTTGACCTTTAATAATGTGTGGATGCACCCTGATGTGCTACGCATTTTCCAACGCGCCTAGGCATGCTTCTGATCAGGTGGTCAATGTCCTCCTGTGGTATCTCATTCCAGGCAACCACCAACTCCTCTCGAAGTGCTTCTAGAGTCTGAGGAGGAAGTTGCAAATTGAGCAATCTCCTACCCATCATATCCCACACGTGCTTAATTGGGGATAAGTCGGGAAATCTTGGTGGCCATGGTAACAATGTGACATCATTATGTTGAAAGAAGTCTATTGTGACTCTTGCAACATGTGGTCGGGCATTATCTTGTTGGAAAGTTGGATCTGCCAGGGTGTCAAGATAGGGTAAAAGATGGGGTTCTAGAACTTCGTGGATATAACGCTGCGCGTTCATGTTACCTCTGGTGAAGATTAAAGGTGACCTGGAACCATAAGCTATAGCACCCCAAACCGTAACTCCAACAGTGTGATGAACATATCTTTCAACAAAAAACTGTGGATTCCTCCTTTCACCACGTCGCCTTCTAACCCTGGCACGACCATCGTGCATGCCTAAACAAAATCGTGACTCGTCACTAAAGACTGTTCCATTCCTGATCCCAGAGTGACCGTTGTCTGCACCACTCAAGGCGATTACGTCGGTGTTCTCGAGTTAAAGGGAGGACCCAGTGTGGCCGGTATGAAAACAAGAAAAAACTTCTCATTCGTCGGTAAACACTTCGCATGCCAATAGGTCTTCCGTGTTCTGCAAACCATTCATTTGCAATGGACCTGGTAGTGGAGAAACGGTCCCTTAAGGCCAATAATCTTAGACAGCGATCTTCACGGTCTGTTGTTCTACGGCGGCGTCCAGTGCCCCTTGCTCTTTGCGTACGGCCTTCTCGAAGCCATGCCTGACAACACCTAACCACAGTGTCTACACTTCTTTGCACTCTAACTGCAATTGCCCGAAAAGAAAGTCCAGCTTCCCGAAGACCCCCTATCAAACTCACTAAGTTGACGAAATCGTACAGGTCTCCGTAACCGATCGTAAAGGATGTCAAGAACCAAAATCCGCCAACGTTGATTCTTTACTGCGGCTGAAATATTCATTTTTAGAGCGTTAATGAATTAAAAAAAAGCAGTATAAAAACTGGAATGTCCAACTGATAAGGCTGAACATTTTTTCACTTGTTATTTACAGTAAGATAAATACATTCACCAACTTTTATTAAAATAAAACCATTTAAACTGGGTATTCGGATTTATATGTCACTTAGTATATAATAATAAAAAGAATGCTAAGCTTAAAAATGGAAGTTAAGGAAGTCTTCGAAGTCAAAAGAAGCCTAAGTTAGTAGGAAGCTTTTATTCGTAGTTTAGGCAAATTGTTCAACATCAAGAGGTTTTATTTTCTGTGGCAATAGGGTGTCGAATTTTAACCCGTGGTAGTTAGCACCATTTCTAGCTCTGGAAAGGCGATGGCGATTTGGACACACATTTATTCTTGGTGTTGAAATAATGAGTATGTTGATGAGTTGTATACTTATTAAAGTGAGTTTTAACATACATGTATATACAAGGCCATGTCAGTATATTCAACTTGATGAATTCAATCCTGCAAAACTTGACACTTATCCAACACATCTCTGTAAGCCAAAATTCTAGGCGCGTACGGAGATTAACCCCATGCCAAAATAACGCGAAGTATGCATCACTACTGGTGAGAAGTTTTTTCTGCGACACTAAATGTCCCGGATAAATAGCTTTTGTCAAGCTTTTGGTCAGTCTCTAACTTGGAACGTACCACTCAGATTTCGCTTTGGAAGTCGCCTTGCTATGCGGTATCGTATATGCTGCGGTCTGTAACCGCCTGCGGTGTGGAAATAATGGACTGCAAAAAACGCCCTAGCAAATCATATTGCATGGAAATTAATGAACACAAGCGAGAATTTTCCCTGTTTTGACAAAGGGTTTGTCGAACTGAGCTTGTTCATCGTACATATGCTTCACAAAAAATAGGTACAAAGACGGGCGAGCAAACTATTTTTAAAGTCAGTCTGAACTGACGACTTGACAACACAACTGACGAAAATGAAGCATTCATTACGTCAGCTATGACAGCTGATTATCTAGTAACAATTCAAAATTATCTATATAGACAAGTCAACGCTAGGTCTTATAAATCTATTGTACACTACGGCAGTGTTGCCGAACTTACCGATTTTTTGGTATTTCTACCGAAATGTTGTTTCCCGAAATACCGAAAACGTCCTCAACAAACTAGCATATTTTCAAGTACCACAAATTCTGCACCAACTTCATATATGTATATACACATTACACAATATAAAATAAAAGCAAATGAAGCCTATGTTAAGCCCATGTTTGGTATAAATGACCTTCA